CCCGTCCCAGCGGGTCCGTGTCTCTCCGGTGCCGAGGGCTCCGGAGCCGGACGCAGCCCTGCAGGGGGGTCTCCCCAGAGCGGGGCAGAGGGGCAGAACCCCCCCTCGCCCTGCTGGCCACGCGGCTTTGGGTGCAGCCCAGGACACCGTTGGCTTCTGGGCTGCGAGCGCACATTGCCGGCTCAGGCCCAGCTTTTCACCCACCAGGACCCCCAAGTCCTTCTCCACGGGGCTGCTCTCCATCCCTTCACCCCCAGCCTGTGCTGATACTGGGGGCTGCCCCGACCCACGGTGCAGGACCCTGCGCTTGGCCTTGTTGAACCTCATGAGGTTCACACGGGCCCATTTACTGACACCTTTGTAAGTGCAAGCAAAGCAAAAGAGATTATTAGGGAAATGTATGTCAGTCTTTCCCACAAATGTTTCTGTGGGGTGACGTCACAGGCAAGACTTAGAATAAGCAATCCTTGCAGCACAGACTTCGCTAATATGCAACAGCTCCAGACACTGCAGAGACCAAAAAGTAGTGCTGGAAGATATGTAAAGGTCTCTTCACACAACTTTAACACGTGGGAGGAGAAAAGCCAGCACCAATTCACTAGTCACTCCACAGCCCTCCTCAGGGCAGCGTAAACCAGCAGTGGTGCCCACGGGCCGTTCCTTCTTGAGAACTTCCAACCCAGCAACTACCGTGCCGTGCCGTACTGCCTGCCTGAAACCACGCGGGCTTCCTGCCGTTTGCTCTCCTGACCCGAACAAAATCCAGCAACACCAGTTTCACTCTAATTTGGTTACTTTCATTCTGAAAGCAGCTGGCTTCCCAACAACGTGACGTGCTTCAGACAGCCAGTTCTCCTTCCCAAGCATGGGGGATTTTTTTTAAGACACTGATATCAGCTTTCTTGTATTTTCTATCTTATTTGCTAGAGATAATTTGAATTTTGAACCAACTGAAATCAAACTCCTTAACTGTCCCTGGCAGTTAGGAAAAATGTTACAAGTTTGTTCTCAACCATTCAGATAGTTTAAGCCCAAACTCTGGTCTATTTTAGGAAAAGGACTGAGGTAAGTTAGAAACTGAATTTAAAGTTAATCAGGAAAGAAGGGGACTCGGAATGAAGACTTGTGCCTTTCAAGAACTCTCTGCCGTAGCATAAAATGAAGTGCTTCACTATGAACAAGGAAGGAAATAGATTCTTCTGCTGCAAAATAGCCAAAAGGCAAGGGAGCAGAGAGCAGTGCAACTCAAACCAAAGCTTGCAACTCAAATTCCTACCCACAGGCTTGTCTGCTCTTCTCATGAAGTCATCTCACCTTATGTAAATACAATTTCCCAGAGCCCAGAGCAATGGGGCCCATAAACCAGCAGTGCTGGGATACTCGATAGGACTGACTAGACACACACCATCACACCACGGGATCAGTGGTCCCATTTCCAACAAAAAAACAACCAGCCATAAAATTCCCAACTGTTCCCATTGTATCACCTAGCTGGAAGCATCTTCTTGAGTCCAAATGTTCTTCAATCACACCACCATCGGAAGGAGTCCACATGAAAATGAATTCAAGACTCAGCCTACAGTTATATCCCGAGCATAAACATTCGAAAAGCATTTTTCTTCCCCCATTTACTCATGCACAGCTGCAGAGAAAATCAACTCAGAGCAAGCAGTGTCCAAGAGGGATTTCTGCACCAGGCAAAGCTCAGAGGTCAGGAGCATTCACCCAAATGCTCTACAGAGCATTGAGACAGAAGGTTCATTTCATTCCTTACCTCCCTGCTCCCCCATAGCAGCCTTCCCCGCTTTTTTCCTATTCCCCTTCAAGCTACATGGTTTATTTCTTCTGCGAGATCTAATTTGGCTTGAGCTTTAGCAGTTCTCACTTCATCCCAGCACTTCCTGACCAGTAAGACACACCCTGCTTGGCTTATCAGTATTTCTTCCCCCCCCCCCCCTCCATTCCTTGCAGGCTTTTTTAAGTTCCTGCTAGGGCTAGCTGTCCCTAGTTTTTCAGAACATGGTATTCTGTCAGTTTTTTAGTTGGAAAACACAAAAATGAAGCAAAAATGAACACACAGCCCCCTCCCCTTTTCAACTTTCTAGGCCCACAGATTTTAGTAACCGGTTACCTCTGACTCATGAACCCTGCAGGAATGTCCACACTCCACCTCGGCTTGCTCTCTACAAGCAAGTCTTTGCAATGGTGTTGGCACCTCATGAGGTAACGTCCATCTTTCAAGAAAAGCCCTTTTCCTGTGAACGCTCCAAGCTAGCGACCTCCCCTCCTTTCTCTCCTCTTCCTCTTGAAAATATCCTTCTCACAGCAAAAAAGGTGCATCAGAGCTGTTTCCATCTCGTCATGCCCCTCTTGCCAGGATGCAGAACTCAGCAGCTAAGATTGCCTGAGCCCCCACATCTTTGAGCACCTTCTCCAACACAGAAGAGTTGCTCTTGGTTCACTCCAGTGGGAATCTTGCAGCATCATTTCTCCTAAAAGACAGCACATACCTTCCTAGTCCTTCAGGCTCCTTTCCAGTGCCACATCCACGTTTCCGACCTGCAGTCCTGGCAGACAGTGCATCTGTTGAATCTGCCGTGGGCCTGTTGACTCTTAATGAGCCGTCTCCAGGCTCACTTACCTCTTACCGACGCTGGTGTAAATCCATAATCCTTTCCTCTAGTTTTTGCATTACCAATCAGCTATGAATAATTTAGGGTACAAATTAAAAGGTTCATTGCCAAGAGATCAACCAGGCTGAGAAACAGCTTCTGGGCGGCACAAGCAGTGAAGGCAAACCTTACTGTTTTTGTGGCTTTTACACCACCACTTCCTGTATTTATGAAAGTGATGATGTGACATACTGTATGGGATAGCGACGAACTGGAGTTGATGACCCCCGTGATCCCCTTCTGCCCTACTGCCCTCATGTGAATACTGTAGATGAGCACAAGTTCCTCTCCTCCCTTCCTTGCATTCACCCTGAGGTATCTGTAGAGCAGCCACAACCCCTCCAGCCTGCGTCTCCCAAGACTGACCAAGCCTAGCTCTTCTCATCTCCTGTTCCCAGTCACTTGGGGTACCGCTTGCTCCCCAACATGGAAGAGAGGTGATCTTACACAAAGGGAAAACTTCCCATCACTGGTGTGAGGAACTTCTGGGGTTATCTTTCTGCACCCAGGGACAGCAAGCAGGGTTTAACAGAGTATCCTTCAAGAACATATTCTATGAATTGAGGGAAAGTCTTTGTTTCACAATACTAAAGAGCACCCCGTAATAGTGCTGCCCAGAAATTCCCCATTTTCTGCCTCCACAGACTTTTAAGTGTGGCTAGAATGGAAACAGTCTAAATTATGTAGGTTAAAAGCCTGGACACATACAAAACATCTTTTTGAGAAAGACTCACTTCTACAGAAATGCAGGCATGAAAGAGCAGGACCCAGACCACCGATTAACAGGAGTAGAGTTAAGAAGAGTTAAAAAAAAAATTCTTACAATTCCCCACCCCCAGCTGTTAATAAAAGCTTTGCAATCATCAGTGAACCTCATGGTAAACCTGAATTTCTGATCAACATGCAAGAAAACAAAACAGAGATACAGAATCCGAGGATGGATAATCCAACTGATATTCCCACCCTGTCAGGTGAGAAAGAAATAGGTTTGGGTTTTGCTTGGGGCTCAGCAACAGCAGGCAGCTGCAAATGTGCCTCTCTGTCCTGCTACTGTTCTGTTTGTACTGGTGGAGATCTGGTGGCAAGGACCAAAGGAGGCCAGGAGGTACCACCATGACACACAGCATTGAAATGGAAATAGGGGAGAACATGTTCATCAGAAGTTCCACTGGTCTCCAAGGGGAACAGAGATGTACTATTGCAGAAAAGCCTCTCAACACATACTTAACGCATGGAATTTCAGTACAAGAATCACATAACCAGGTGTAAAAATCTTCAAATGTAATTTATTAAGACATTCAGCTATGTCTGTCAGTCTACATCCAAACTGACTGCTAAAAATAAAATAGTATCACATTTCACATTAGGAATACCGACTTTGAAAAACACTTGAGTCAAGCCTATCGTATAAATAAGTGACTAATTTCTCTTCATATCAAAATTCACATAAAAAAATTGCCTGCCCCCTACTCCCACCTATTTCCCCACCCCTGTCCCTAGTTCTACTTGAAGCCATGATGCATGTAAAAATTTAAGTATGGACATGTCCTTGTCAAAGAAAAAAAAAGGTGCAAACCTATTAACAGCTTTAAAAGTGGCATTTGCGGAGTCTGATCATACACAATAATGTACTCATTCCCAAAGTGCAAATATCGCCAGAGTTTAATACTGTTTTAATTCAGCTGCAAGAATTAAACATTACACAGCACAGTACTGCAAGGCCTCTATCTGTGCCCTAAAACTCATCCCACTTTGCTCCTGCACATGGTAGCAGAGGTCAGTGTTCATCAGAGCTTTAGCTTACTTCATGCAGCCCAGACTGTGCCCATTATTAGCAAAAGTTTCATATACATCAAAATATTGAAGACTCCGTCATAAAAGTCAAGAGTCACTATAGATTACATGAATTCAAATGCAATTGCCCCACCGAGAACACCCAAAGCATACACGACGTATTAAGAGTGCTTCCATCTTCTAGTACCATCACTGCTGTTATATCTTTGATTTTTGCCTACGTGCCATAAAAAGTATGTCAGCAACCAAAGCTGCACCTCAGTCAGAGACTAGCAACTCACTGCATTTAACGTCTCTCAGGTACCCTGGGACATGGCTGTCTGTGATACCCTCTTCCTGACCAGAACAAAAGCTAGCGTTCTGTCCATTCGTCTATAACCTCTCACAGACCTCTTGTTCCCTTACCCCTCACCTACATCTTGAAAACACTCCTTCAATTTATTTCCAGACATCCTTCCTATGCCCACAGTTCACAGAGCTTCTGGAGTCATTTCTACTACATCTCACTGGAGTTACCACTACCAAGCAGCCCACAGAAATCAGCATGGGAGATTACATTTTGACCAGCATTAATAGCTAAACTTCTTTCACAGCTGTGGAAGGACAGGTTTTCTTCTGAGTCAAACTTGGATCTCTGAAATGTGTTTGTTCCCGCATCATCCTTTGCCACCTCAGAGCTGGACACAAACCCTTGGGTCTTGAGCGGGGCACCCCTTTGGGGCTGCAGTTAGTTCTGCAGCACAAGCTGCTCCCTGGCTGGCCTCACACAGGCTTGTGTCACTGTCCATGCTTTGAGACCCCTCCATCTCAGCAGAGGCCTCCAGGCTGTCCTGTCCACTGCTCTTGCTAGGGCTGTCTTTCATATTTGGCCCATTGTCACATTCAACACCAGGGGGCTCAGCTGCATCTCCAGGCCTGGTATTTTGCTCTGCACTAGGATTTGGCTGTTGAACTGGCTCTGGTCCCAGTCCCGGTAGCTGTGAAGGGCTCTTGAGTTGGCAGTGGCACAGAGGGCAGGTTTCTTGCACATACAGCCATTTCTTAAGACAACCCGCATGAAAAAAATGGCTACATGGTGTGATTACAGCAGTTTTCATATCCTGAAAGACACACAAAAAAAAGAAATATTATTTGTAATCCTGTTCCTCTCCTCTCACCCCGTACATCTAATGGTCTACTAGCCACAGAGGAGACAGAAGCAGTCCACAGGCAAGTAACAGAATGTTCCTTCCTTCATATCAACAAGCCTCCACATTCACATACACACACAATTCAAACACGGGCCAGGTCTGGCTGTTTACACAGGGATTAGAAATTAGGCAGAAAGCTTTGTTTATAAGGTATTATTACACCTGAATAAAAGCTTTCGTAGGATGAGAGTCACAGGATTAGTTGGCTTAAGAAACAATTGTGCAAGTCAAAAACAGCACACTTATAGATACAACATGTAACAGCAGCAAACCAAAAATGAAGTAACAGCCTAACGCTGTCAGCTGAGACCTACACATTACTACTCTGGTGTTTCAAACACTGTCATTCAACCTGGCACCAGTAGTTTTACTCTTCAGAGAATTTGTATCAAGTTTGGAGTCAATCCAATTGCATTCCAACTGCACACTACTAATCTTAGGGTGGTTCTTGCACTGTCATACGTAATGACAATTTGTTTCCAAGAGAAAGAGACTTTGGAGATAGAGGTGTGATAAAGATATTACTTTCGCCATTAATTTCTAAGGTCCTTACATCTGCTGGCTTGCTTTAGAAAGACCCTTAACCTTTTGATAATTCGGTTTCTCATAAAACTGACATTGCACCTGAAGTGGAAGCAGTGATGTCCGTATAGACTGAGCTGCTTCTGCACAATAACAACAAATCAGCTACTGAGTACATGTTGTCTTTCAGTAACAAGATCTTCCACTAAGGAAGAAAGGGCACATTTGCTGTTACTATTGAGACCAGCTCAACCCAAACATGAGAGGTTTCAAAGAAGCTCAAGGATGCGGTTTATTGCGTAACTGAAAAAAAAAAAAAAAAAAGAAAGAAAGAAAATTTAAACACATCCAAATTCTCTCTTTATTCATAAAAACTGTCTTGGTAACAGTACTCCAAATCAATTCGCACAAACCAGAAAACTGGCTAAGTCAAGTAATTTATTGAGCACAATATTACTGATTAAATATAACTCAAGTAACTTACTTTGCTAGTTGCAGACTGAACTCAACAGTCTAGAGGTAGTTAAATTCAAGCCAATCTTTTGACATTTCCATTCTTACCTGGTAGCAGATAGCACAGATATCATTGTGTTGTTCCAACTGCTCTTTCGTGGCAACAGGCAGCGATTTTATCTTATTCACAGCATCTCTGCGAAGAAGGAAACTTTTCCACCCCAGCTGGGCCCGCAACCACACATTGTAATAGGAGTGAATGAAGATGATCACAGAACCCATCACAGTCCATTCACCAAAGATTGTTTCCGAGACACCGTATGCTACCACACAGAGAGCGACGAGGAATTCCAGCAGCCGGTACGTGCCATTTACATAATAAATCACATCATCCATATTTTCTACTGGTTCTTTTCTGAACTCCTCCACCATAAACAAAACATAAATGAAGAGTGTCCCAAGCACCTGTAACACAGTGCAAGACCATGAGCTCAGCATTTAACCCTGAACTGGAGCTTCTGTCATTCAGCATTGTCCATTGAGCTCTGTACACACAAATCAGACAGAGGGCAAGCAAGACCCAAAGTAGTAAAAATCTTGCTGAACTTCAAGACAAATAAAAAGTCACTCTTTCTTGCAAAGCATTGAAGCTTGTTCCCAAGTACTTCCCCTTGTGTACGTTCCTCAGTCCAGAACATAGCTGAGTTGATTAAACAAAAGTGCTGAGCACCATGAGGGGTGATTTTATAAATTTAATCACAAAAAAAAAAGTTATAACAAATACTCATAGTACAAAACATTTCCTGTATTTACATTACTGTGTTTTGATCATCAAATTGCTTTCAAAGAACCATAGCTAAGTAACAATACATAAATGAGTACTCTGGGGAAAAAAAAAAACCCACAACTTTTTACTATCATAGTTATGCCCTCAAAAGCCTTCTTGCTTTACAACTTGAAATAGGCTTCCATTCACCTATGTTCTCAGCCCACCCCTAGGAGCTCCTTGGCCTCGGATACAGGATAAAGAAAGAAATTTTATATCATATCTTGTACTGCCCTTTTATCATCCCTACTCTTTTCTCATCATGTATTTCCCCCCCTAGAATAACGATTAATGCAGGGCTTCACAGTTACTACAGGGCTAACATTCTTACCTGAAGAGAGGTTAGAATACTGCTGGAGATAATGATCAACAGCCAGAAATCCATGTGGAAAAATTGACAAATCATGTAGGCCATGTATGCAGGGAACACAAGTAAGAACAAACAGAGGCTGACTGCTCGGAAGTGCTTCCACAGACTCCTGCAAACAACACAATAGGTTTTTATTTTTTAAGTCAGATTTGAGTGTCAGAATAAGAATAGCCTGACTGCTGGATGTTGGCATGTTAGATGTTTGCTCAAGGCTTTAACTTGATGAAAGGAGTTTCTGTTTTACCTGGGCACAGTCTCACTCCCAGCATGCCTACAACACATACAGTATGAAAAGTTCCCTCTCATCTGACCTTTGCTGTTTTCAAAAATTCACCCACAGTAATTATCATAATGGGTCAAGTCAGTGGTTAGACAAATTATGTATTTGAGAGACTGAATGTTTCAGATAAAATTCCATTAAAATAAAATTATTAAGTATGCATGTAACAGTTTGTACACTTTTCTATACAAACAGAGTTCTCCCAGGTTATATGCTTATTACAACTCTTCTATGTCTTTTTGCTAATATGCACAGAGCAAAGGCATTCCCTTTCAGCACCAGATTTAACCCTGCTGCCTTTAGAAATATATTCCCCAACTCAGGGATCACGAAGAAATGTAGCAAGACCTGAACATTCGTCTCTGCCAGTCCTTACTCTGCTCCGATCATTTGCTACTTCCTAATCTCCTCCCCAACCTAAACACACCATCAATCTTTTTACACCCACCCATTTGTGAAGGCTTTCAGAGTATCTCCAGTAATTTACTATACTACCTCTACATGCTCCTCAGGTTGTGTTTTAACCTCATTTGGCTCTGGAAATGAGGTACAGAAAAAGTGAAAGTATTGGGAGAACAGAATAGCAGCAGAAGCTGGCTAACTTAATACAGTCTGAAGAAACATCAGAACACTAGTGTGAGGTCTGCAATCCCATGTCTGTGGGTGAGGAAGAAAGGGAGAGCTGAAGCAGAATTTATCCTGATCCTAGTTGATTTAAACCGCCTGGGAGATTTCGCAGAAGAGAGTTAAAACTCGCTATCACCACAGACTGCTTGTTTAAGCTGGGCAGATGTTCATATCCTGGCTCTACTCCCTTTCTCTGTTACTATATTTGAAGTTAACATTGCTGCAGGCAGAACACACTGGCTATAAGTAGCCTCTAAGCTAAACAAACTCTCTACACATAAATAGACCTCCTCTTGTATTTCTTACAGGTTACAAAAAGGGAAAACACACAAGCAATTAACAAAGATACAAACAGATTAATACAAGAACACCAGATACCAATACAGCTCTTCAAAATACAAATTAAACTTAGCAACAATCCCACATGATTGGAGCATCTGGTACAGTAACACAAGCCTTCCACCTCTTATTTTCTGCCAGTAAACCCTATCATTTTGGGATCACAGCCTCACAAAAAAATAGGTTGTACAATATGTAACACAAGGTTCCTCTTAGAAACTTCCCATCCTCAATAGCTGTCAAACCACTGCATTAGAGGGAAACCTACCCAGTTGCAGAGGAAGCAAAGCCAAGCCATTCTGCAAACCCACACAACGGAGTGTGCGTGGGCAGGGCACAGGCACCGGACTCCTGGATTTGCTTAACTGAGACTACAGTGCACTGACACTCTTGCACAGGCTGCATGGACGCAGTCCTGAGCAGGAGCAGGTGACCAAGTCACACGTTTGCCAGCACACAGCATGGTGAAAAGTATTACTGTGTGCCCTTAAGGGAGTAGGATAGTGAGGGAAAAACTAGAGAATTTAGACTAGAAAAGAAATCCGCATACAGAAAAGACAGGGTAACTTTACAAGCTACTGAAGATCCAAATCAGGCCATCAATTACTAGTTTATCACCTCCTAAAACAGCATTGAGTAACTGTCAGTTTAGGAAACCAGTCTCTTACTTGTCCCTTGAGGCTCCCAATGCCAAGACAATGGGATCAGCAATTTCCAGCATGGACTGAAGTATGGATGCCACCACAATGAAAAGAATAATACTGAGCAGGAACGCCCGATGCACAACTTGGAGCTCAATCAAACCTGTCTGCACAGCCAGGATCAGGAGTGTGACTCCTTCAGTCATTCCCCTGCAGATCAACACAATCAAAAGAACAATCAATCATTTCTGTGTGTCAATGTTGTTTCAAAAATACATCTAGAAACACCAGGAAATAAGCTGTCTGTTTCTGCCACAACCCTTCAAATGTCACTGGTTTCAGCTTTTACTGATGTCCCTGCTAAGGCTTGAACCAGAGAGGGATGTTTTCAGAAACACTGAAGTGTTTGGGATTAGGAACTAGCAGATTTCAGAACCCTGCTCCTGACTAGCAGCATGTGGGCTACATCCAGCCCAGCAGACACCTCCCAATGACAGAGTCCCCGCCAGCACAAAGCATTTTAAGGACCCAGGCTGTGCCTTAGGAGAAGGAACCCACCAGTCTCAGTGGTGCCTATACAAGCCTGCAGCAGCCCTGCTATGTCTACACTTGGGCACCAGTCAGCCTCTTTCCTAGATCACCATGAAATCCCTCTCCACTTGTTGTATTTCCCCATCATCACCCTCCGGTCAGTCCTTGGCCCCAGGGAAACACCCTTGACTCAACACCCTACCTGGTGCCCTGTGTAGGCAAATCAGCAATTTAGCTGTTTCTCAGTTTATTCTCTCTGTACCTATACCAAATACAGCTGTCCACTTCTTTTTGGCTTGGAACCTCAGACTGACTTCAGTATCTCCAAGGACCACAATTCAGCACCAGTATTTGATGCAGTTAAAAGTACAGATCATCCAGAACTGCATGCTTCCCCAGAAGATGCTTTTACCTAGACTACTCCTGGGCAACCAACCCCGATTTATACTATTTTTGCTTTCACATCTTGGAATCCAAAATGTGAAACATTCTTTTGTATATGGTCTGAGAGTTAAGAGCTGGAATAACTGAGAAAGGTAGTGTCATACCTAGGATCCCAACTTGATACTAGACAAGTTGGGACAAGTGTTAAGAAAAGGCAGTTTCTGTATTTTGTCTATTTACATAGCAATTTACAGGCAGTCCATACAATGCTGTATTTTAAGCCTCACAGATTAGTAATATTTGACACAGGACTACAGGGTAAATGAGGAAACGGAAATACGAAGTGTTTATATTATCCAAGCATGTGAAAATTTTCCAGTGATTCATGAAAATGAAAGCACTAAGACAATCAAACTGGGCAATTATAAATTCCAACAGCCCCAAATTTGTTACAGAAATGAACCATCTCCCAAGAAGTCTGTGACAAGCTGTATTTTCACCTCAAATCCTTCCAATGGACACACAGACTGGCATACAGAAAGCTTGTCAAGGATACCCAAAAGTTCCTAAGTTAAAAAATTGCAATGCAACCCGTATATTTCTGTAAAAATCCCTTTTCTGTCTGCTTCTTTTTAGACCCTAGACACAACAAGGCACTTACCTGTTCATAGCAGGATCATTCATGAATGCTCGGTAACCCTGCAAGTAAAACTTGCAGAGAGTCAGAACTCCCAAAGCAACAAAAGAGACTGTGAAGACCAAGCCCAGCAGCGAGTATGGAGTGCTACAGCATTCAGCAATACTGGGAGGAGAGGGGAAAAGAAACAAAAAGAAAAAGTCCATCAATTAAAACCAATGTGATGAGCTCTGCCCTTGCCCTGTTAATTGTGCAGGCTGGTTTTAAAGCAAAATTGGGTTGGTTTAATGAAAAAAAAGCTCTATATAAAATATAATA